TGGTTAAGGGTGAGAAAGAAGTCGTTGGAATACACCGGAGCTTGGTTCTGGCGATTCGAGACTTGCTCCAAAGAGCGTGGTATGTTGAAGTGAAGCATGTGTATCGTGAATTGAATTTCGCTGCAGATGCCTTAGCAGCTCTTGCGGCATCTAGCTCGGGAGGCTTGTTGTGGTTAGATGATCCGCCTTGAATTTCGGTGCAGATGCCTTAACAGCTCTTGTGGCTTCTAGTTCAGGAGGCTTGTTGTGGTTAGATAATCCGCCTGTTAGGGTTGTTACCAACGTTCTATCTTTTTATAGACTATAAGGCACATGCCTCCTTTATTGTAAAAAAAAAAAAAATCGGATGCCAAGAAAAGTAAGGAAAGAATTCTCCCGGTTAGAATCTGAATCAATAGCTATAGAGTATAAGGCTTATCAATTAAAATCATACGCCGGTAGACAGAATGTAGTTGATTAAAGGAGAGAATCGAGAGCTGCGATAAAGACCAAAGAGGGAGAAAAAAAAGATGAGGAGTACAATTAGGAGTTTGACACAAGAGAGGGTAATTTTTATTTTTTAGTTTAAAAAAAGCCTACAATCTACTCTGGCGATTAAAAATTGCTATGGCATCAGTCTTATGTTTTTCCTTTTTGCACAACTTTGTGGCTATATTTAGAACATGAGTATTTTTCAAGTGCTTTGGAGTTCGAATTTCGTTGATATGGAAATTTAGTATAATGCGATTTCTTTCTAAAATCTAAAAGTTGTGGTCTCCAATTTCTACGTACAAGACAAAACCCGCTAGTAAGTTAAGTGCTTTGAATGAAAAGAAATTTTCAAAAAGTTTTCGTCTGACCTTTTGAAAAAAACCTTTTCAACTGGAATGGATGTGGAATATGCCTTAATGACAAAGATAGCTAAGAACTTTTACTAATATTAAGCAAGATTACAAAGTGGAATAGCTTATGTCATTGCTATTAAAGCAGGCTCTCATGTAGAAGATGTTATGAGTAACTTGGTTAATGAATTTTACCAAATTTCTTATATCAATCAGAGCTAATTGAATTTAAAGAAGTTTGATGAAGTGCTATTTTTCAACAACATCCAAATATATAAGTGCTAGTTTCACAAGAAAAAGAAAACAAAAAAAAAAAACAAGGAAAAGAAAATAGAGTGGGATTATGACACTATAACAAAAAAATGTAAATATCAACTCATCTCGAACATAAGTGCTATTTTTCAAGTGGTTTATACAAGCTACAAGAGATTTTTTTTTTTTTTTTTTTAAGAAGAAGAGATGTATTTTTCTTGGCTTAAAATGATTGTCCGGTTTAGATTTACACTTTTATTACAATTTATACTAAAACTTAACATTAAAATTAGACAATTATTTCAGAACCAAGAGAGTGATACAATTTACCTGAATAATATTTTATATTATTATACTTTATTCTACATTGATTTACACAAAGATAATGAAATAGGCCAATCTAAATTGAATTACATTATACTAAGTGTAACAATTCTGAATTTTTACACTCTCCGATATTATTAAACTATTCTATGGAACAATAGGGAGTATAGCAAAAACTGTTTAAATTAATATTGTCAGGCCCACAGAAGTTTATTAATTTATAGAGGTTGTTATATTGACAAATTAACATTATTAATTTATCAATAAAATTTTAATTTATTAATCTAAAGTTTTCTTTTTTTAAAAAAAATTTCTATTAGGAAATGAATATCCAAATTCTCATATTGTGAGACGACTCCATCACTTTCGATTGCAATGTGGAAAATCAAAGATGAATATTTTCAAATGTAAATTTCAAGAAAAAACAAAACTCAATAGTCTCCTACTTTTCAAAATCTTATTAATATTTTTGGTATATATTTGAGATCATTATTAATTTATAATTTTGAGAGGACCATATATATATATGTATAAGAACTTTTCGAAAGATTCGTTATTTTATTGTTTTATTAATTTTATTTGATTATAGGTCTCGAGTTAGGACCAAAAAAGATTATGATTTAATTAATTTAGTTATAGAGTGATAAATTTAGGAAGTTTTCACTGTATAATTAGATGGTTTCAATTGCTTTTTAGTACCTTTGTACATTAGCTCAAGTAGAGTGTAATAAGAGTACTTTAAAAATTAATTCATGCTTCAAGTTGTTCTAGACCAGATATGTGGCATGATTTAAATAACAACAAATTTTCTGAGATACAATTTCAAATATTTCTTTATCATGCATGTTATGTGTAATTTATGTTTGATAATAGCTAGTTAAGACCTTTAAAAAATAAAAAAAAATCGAGTAGATCTTACTATTAAAAAATGTCTGGTTTCAGGAAGATTATCATTATGTGCTAACGTCCACGAGGGCAGTTTTCCGTCCATAATTAATTTTTATTTCTTTTGGTTATTAAATTTTTTTTTTCATGTTTCTACATAATTGTCATATTTGTGGTCATGCATTAATTAATTAAATCCACGAGATTACTTTCCTGGTCTTGGATATTATTTTTCAGAAGTAATTACTGTACCTACTATTTTTCTTCTAAAATAATTTTCTAAATTTTATATGACAGGACTCAGGAGTATGAATTTTGAAAGAATAATAATCAGAAAAGGGACAAGATAGATAAACAACGTCACATGGCATAATAGATAGTTGACCAACATCAAGAACAAGTTCCAAGCGTATAAAATCTTTGTAAATATGCTTTGTCTTATGATGGAACCATGCAACCAAACAATAACACGAATGATATAATTATTATTTTTCATTCATTTATTATTTTCATTATGAATTTTATTCTGCATCGCATTATTTGAAAATGTGAAATATGACACTGCTTTTCTCCCAAATTGATCATTGTTATGTTTGAATTTATGTACACTTTTAGTACAACTTGTACAAGAAAAGTTTTTTAAATTAAATAATTATTTTGAGACAGAATAAATATATTTTTTTTGTAAGTGGTGATAAAGAAATTGAAAAAGGTTAGAATTATAAATTAGACACACTTTATAAATTGCATTTCATTAGGGGGTTTACATAAACAAATGATATAATACGTCTTTTTCTTCATGTCACTTCATTCACATTATCACCATGTTCTCTCTATTATTATTTTCAAATGTATTTACATCATTTTCAAGTCATTTCATATTTACTAGCTGTATTACATAAAGCAACTCAAGTTCTATTAATTCCTACATAAATACACTTTATTTTTCCCCATTGAACCAGTACGCCATAAAAGCGAGAATACATCATGTACAACAGTACAAGTTTGGTTTAAATTTTTTGTTTAAATTTCCTTTTTTTTTTTCTTTTTTGAAGGTTTGTAGAAAATTCTTGTTGTATCATATTAATTTATATTTTAGGTATCTGGGTACTTCACAAATTTTGAGAACGTTTTTCTTATGTTTACTTAATTTGTTTTTGGAACAGTTTCAAATAATGTAAATGCTTGATATAAATTGGCTCTCCATGCTTTTAGGCTTTCTTGTTAATTACTCTGTGTATATTTCTTCAAAGCCGTTTTTTTGTGGGTTTTCTTTTTCATAATTGTTTTGTTTAAGTTATATTTTTATTTTCGTTTGCACAGTTTTACATTTTAAATATATGATTTTACATTTCTAACAAAAAAAATACATAAAAATCTTTCCAAGCAATACAGATTTGTTGATATAATCCATAGAGGTCATCCTTCACATCCGTCACTTTAATTTTTTGTTTTTATCACAAGGTTGATGGTTTTATTCAGGTTAGGAAAAAATGAATTTTATTTTTTCAATAAATGGAACATAAGAGCATTCTTTTTTCCCTCTTGGATTATTTGAGTCTATAAAAGTTTTAAAAAGAAGATCAACACAAGAATCGGGTCACATGTAGTAAAGGAACGGTTTAGGTGGTGGTTTAGTCCAACTTTGGTCAAAGAATTGTCTAGTTGCCGTTTCTTGGTCATTTTTGGTTGATTCAATAAAAACTTTTGAGAGGAGTTTCATTACAATTTCTTTGTTTCCTGTGCCAAATGGCAAATATATCTAGTTTGGTCAATAGAGGGCTACACTCTACGGACCTGACCTAATATTTTCATCGACGCATTTTGAGATCAAACTAAAAAATACTCCCTCCGTCCCATAATTATTATCCACTTTGCCTAAAAAATTTTGTCCCAAAATTATTGTCCAATTTGATTTTTTATAGATCAAGTTACACATTTGTCCTTAATAAAAAATATTATCCATAAAATCTTAGTGATTAAACAATTACTTATGTTGGGGTATATCCGGTTGTTTAAGGTAAAATATAATTAAGTTTGACCAAAAATAAAATCTTTCATTTTAATAAAACTGGACAATAATTATGGGACGGAGGGAGTACATTACAATTTATTTGTTTATTATTCAATCAATTTCAAATGTTATCGACAATCACTATTCACTACTATTGTTAGATCATCGTTTGTTAGTGAGTTATTTATTAAATTCTCATCAAGTTGCCAAAGGACAGATAAACCTAAAACAATCAAACATTTGATACCACTTGATCAAACCGCAGGCCTTTTTATATGGAGATTACTTCTATAGTTTTGAAAAAAATGGAATATGGTAAAACTTTTAAAAAATTATTACACCTGTATAATACCATTCGAACATTTTTCTAGAAACTACTTCCGTCCAAAAAAAATAGTTCACACTGAGTTTTTAAATTTGTACTAAAAATAGTATACGAAATTCAAAACTCAATCTTGACTATTTATATGGGATAGGGAGTATAAAGTGAAAAAAAAAAGAATTGACATTGATACATTTACACCCTCTTCTTTTTTCTTTTTTTTTTCCCTTTCAATCCGAACTATAATTTTAACTCTAGTAATTTCAAACTAATTGTGATACTTGTTATATAGAGATTAAAATTATTTTCCGAAGGAAAAAAGTAGGAATGAATACGGTGAATTACTACTGCCAAAAAAGTTAAAAGAAAAAAGGCCCAAAATAGAGAGAGCATTTTCATTCTTCCTAATCAAAATATTCCCTTTATTCCACTTTATCTCATTCTCTGCTTCTTCCCTTTCCCCACTTTTGTTTAGCACAAAAAACAATCTTTATTTTTGGTTTTGGTCCCATCAAAAACCCAAATTCCACCACCCATCATCACCACCAGTCGCCACCGCATCATTACTGAACTCCGCCGCCTCCTCCTCCTTCATTACCAAAATGCCAGCTGCCACAATCTCAGATCGTACGTCACTCAATCTTCTTCATTCCTTCCATTCCTCTGACTCCTCGTACTTTCACCTAATCCAATAACAATCCCCATCATTATCAATTCATCATCATTTCCTGACTCTTCAGATCCGCTTCTGTAAATATTACGGTGCACAGAACCCAGAAAGATTTCGATTGATATTCCAAGAAATTTTTAATTAAAGAAGAAAGAAAGAAAGAAAGAAAAGAGGAAAATTACAAATTTGATAATTTTTTTATTGGAAAAAGTCAACGACGATGGATTTGGATGAGCTCCGGTCGATTCTATCCAAATCAAAAGTTGATGTGTGGTCGTTAATTGATTCGGCGATTACGGTGGCGTCGTTGGACTACGGCGATGAATTGAGAGATCGACGGGATGGGATTGTTCAGAAGCTTTATTTTCCGACCGCAAGCAGCTCCAGCTCCGGCCAACTGTGCCGGAACTGCCACGGCGATGTCCGGGTTATTGACGAGAATAAGCAAACTCGTCATCAGCAGCAGCAGCAGCAGCAGCTGCGTCAGGATCAGGATCGGAATCAGAATCAGAAGAAGAATGATAACCAAGTTCACCGGAGTAGTAAAAGTCCGTTGACTCCGGAATCGAACCATAACGATTACGGAATGGGAAACGTTGATGACGTTGACGATTTGGATCTCAATGGTGGTTTGTTTGATGACGAGCAGGAGAAAATCTTGCATATTCGAGAACGACTTGAAGATCCAGAGCAGGTTTGCCAACTGCTGTGTGTTTCTTTACCGATTTTGTGGTTTCATTTTCTTCATTTCTGGATAACTTGTTTTTCTAGGATGAAGAAAGCTTGGTGGAGTTATTGCAGACTCTAGTGGATATGGATATTACATTCAAAGCTCTTCAGGTACTTCTTGCTTTCCCTTCAAGGAACATTGAACTTGTTCTCCTCTGGGTGGGATTTCCTTATTTGTGTAAGAGTTCATTGAATTGGTTCTTATTGTTTTTGTAAATTAGGAAACTGATATAGGAAGGGTTGTAAGTGGATTCCGGAAACAACATCCCTCCAATGAAGTTCGAAAACTAGCCAAATTACTTGTCAGGTAATTTAATTTTTTACTCCTTAAAAACTATCGTTTTCTGGATGTATTGCTTTTAGCCTATGAATTGTGCTTCAAATAATGTTGTATGATGTTGGGAGTTCAATATTTTTCTTTTGCAGAAACTGGAAGGAAACTGTGGATGAATGGGTGAGGTTGAATCAACCTGGGCAAGCATCAGTGTCTCTCATTGGTAGTATTTTATCTTATAAAGAATAAAGATAGTAGTCATTTGTTTTGGTGCAGCAGGGATGGCCATTTGGTCTTGAGTTGAAGTGATTCTAGGGATTTGATTGTTTGTAATGGTGTTGATGGCAGGTGAAGAATCGCCTCAGCTAAATATGCAACATAAAACTCAGCAAAATGGTCATCACCAGGTGATAACTGAGTTAATGGAGAATATGAATGTGTATTGGAAGTTCACATATATGGAGGTAATAACTAAAGCTAGTGATATGTTTTTCAGGGTTCGGACTTTGGGTACTCTCCAAACCCACAAAGTAAGAACAGTAGTTGATCTGTTGCTTTTGATTAAATAATGCTGAATAGAATTGCTGATTAGCATATTGTCGTCTGTTGCGCCGATGTGTATCTTCTTGTTAAGAAAAAGAAACTTTTGTCTTCTGTCTTTATCAGATTGGGGTTCTGGTTCAGAAAAGAATTATTCAGAGCCAGAGACAAAGGTGAAATCAGCTCCCTCAAGAGAAGCTCCATCTAGACCACCACAGTCTGCTCCAACTCCCAAATCAGCTTCGGCTCCCCCTCCAAATGTATGAAGCTCAACCTTTAGTGTATCTTTATGTTCTGATAATCACTGCTTGTGTTCTGGATGCGCGTGGTTCAAAATTAGTCTTTCAAGTTTGGCTCTTAAGGGATGTTGGTATTGAACTATAGGACACATATGAATGGCCAGAATGTTAATGAATCTTGACAGAAATGGAAAGAGATTGAACAAATCATTAGTGTGATCAGATGTTTATGATCACTTGTTAATGATACAGTTTTTAGTAAACCTTCAGACCTAGTGTGGTACTGAAATATCTCTCTTTAAAGAGGCTTTTTAACGACTGCTATGGGGATTGTGCAGAGACAGAAGGACTCAACCATAGATCTTGAGAAGTTGAATTCAGCAAGAAGGCGGCTTCAAGAGAATTACCAAGAAGCTCAAAATGGTCTGTATTTCAATAATCTGAATGCTTCTCTGTGCTCATTTTGTGATGAAAATCATACTGATGGCCTTTGCCTGTCTGTGTTTGTGTGTTTTCTTTCTCTTCTGAAGCCAAAAAGCAAAGGACAATACAAGTGATGGATCTTCATGAGTTACCAAAACCAAAGAATGCCTTCTTTGCTAAGAATAAAGGTGGCTTTCAGGGGAGGAACCATCGCTGACTTTGCCTGTCATCTGAGACATTGATGAGTTGGGATTTACCAAAAGTGGATAAATCCGTATTGGCGACTGGCGATTTCATCACCTCCAAACCAAAGGCAGACAGTTTACTTTCTTTTTTCCCCTGGTTGTTTCTGTTAATCTTATTCACTAGTTTGGTACATAAGGAAAGTAACTAATACTAGTATAATATTCGGGATAACACTCAGTTTGAGAATTATTGTTACTGTGATCTTATATCATAGGGTAAAATTTGATACGATTTCATTTTCGTCAATGACGGAAAGACACAATCATAAGCGATAAACAGTTAACGGCGATTGCGGATTGCCTTCTCATAGGTAACGCCTTTGATTGTTCAAAATCTTCAAGACGATAAACAGTTAACGGCGAGAGGTAGCGTATGTCAATTACAAGAACCTCTTTATAAAATAAATAAAGCCTTATAATTAGATGTGGAAACCATAATGTGAAAGATAAAGATGGTTGACGGCTGAAGTCAAATCTACAACAAGAGATGATGATTAATCATGCACGGTCATATTACATGAACACGGTAATCATTTTATTTTATATTAGTATAATGTTTAAGTTCTCTTTTCGATTTTAATTATGATTCACAAATTTGAGCTCTACGGAAAGTACATCCCTTCGAGCAATTGTTCCCGGAAGAGAGTTGTGATATTTACAGTTTCCATCATGATTGCCTTATGGATCTTATTATAGGTCATATAGCCAAGTATTGTTGATTCTGATTTCTGACCTCTATAGGAAAGAGTTGTGGTATTTTAGTATTTACATTTTCCATCGTGATTTCCTTCTCATAGGTCATAGTGCCAAGAATTGGTATCGGCACATTGCTCTTATATGGCCAGTCCGTTACTCTTTAATTATTGGTACATTGGTCTTAGGGCCTTGAATCCTCGCCCATTCAGCCCTCATTTAGCGCCGGCCCTTGTAATTTCCCGAGATACATCAGTATATTTTCATTTTTGCGGTTATTATTATTATTATTATTATTATTATTATTATTATTTTATACTTAACAACATCCCTTACTTCAAGTTCAACGGACAAAAATTGATAATGGGGTGTCTCAGCTTGAAGCAGAAGTTAGTAATGCGAGCGTGGTGCAGATGGTAGATAAGCCGGCGGTTGGCTTGCAGGCAGCCTGATTAAAGTAATAGTTCTTGGTAGAAATTGGAGAGTTGAGCTGAAACATATCTATCGTGAGACAAATTTTGCAGTAGACTTCTTGGCTACATTAACTGTTTCAAGTCCTGATAGCTTCTTGGTTTTAGATGAACCCCCTTCGAAAATTAAACCGTGGCTAGAATACGATATTATCGGAGTTTCTTACCCATAGTCTATTGTAATATAATCTCTTAATCTTTTGCCTCCTTTTGTTTTTTAAAAAAAGTTCAACGGACAAAAATACCACTTATAACAGCCCCAAAAATCCCAACGAGCATTTGCTAATTGATTTATGGAACTCGCACTGAGTCAGAAAGTGATTTGATAGTCTGTTTCAACAGTTATATATTTATCTCACCACAGTCATCTCATCCTTACATCTCACCTTACATGTCATTCATTTATAGGACAATAAGTTTCATACACTTGGTGCACCACTTCCTATACTACATCTAAAAACCTCAATTTAAATATTATATTTCTTATTAATATTGGTCCAATTGATAAATCATTCGCATTATTATAATTTTTCTCTTAAGAGTTTAACTTTTTCGGGTTAGGGTCTATTTATTTTAAAATTTTAGATATAAAAATATCCGAAAAGTTTATACATTTAATAAAAAAATAAATTCACTTATTAAATTTCACTTAGTCTTTAAATGCCATGTAAGGTGAGATATAATGGTGAGATAATTTAAGTGAGTTATGTATATTACTCTTTTAAATATTACACTAAATCAGGATTTTCTTTTCCATTGATTTATTGCACTTCAATATAAAAAAAAATAGCTCTAAATTTATCAATTGCCTACACTAAGTCATAATGAACCTGTATAACTTTCTCTATTTCAATGGACTACCTAAATCCGTGACTCACACATCCCTTTTACCCTATTAAAGCAGAAGACATGAAGCTTATGTGGCAATTACGTATGCATCTGTTTTGGCTCCAATGCACCATATTTCAGATTTCAGGAGTTTTTTTGCCACGTGTAAGTCTCTTTTAATTAGAAGCTATATAATTCTTTTTATTTTTTTTTAAAAAACACATGTTTTAGATGTGACACTTATCCAATGAAAAAAATTCTACAAATAAGAATCAGTTACATTTCAAACGAATGAATATATTAATTCAAATTCAAATGTCCAATCGTACAGTTTTGCAGGATTAATATAAACAAAAAATAAAAAAAACTAAACCCAGAAATTAAGAATAATGCATTATAAATTAATTATTTATTATTTCCTTATAACCGCAGATTTATAGGTATATTTTTTAAGCCACAAACCATAGCATAAATGATATATACGCCAAATTAATTCATCAAAAAATAGTAATTCAATTAGATTTTAATAAAATAGTAATTTAGAAGGGGCGCCGGGGCATCTGCCTGGGCCAAACATCTAGTCTACAATTAATGTCGTTCAAGAACAGTTGAATCAGTTGAATAATTTGTCATTGCCAAGAGTGTATACATAATCAATTTTATGAGCGCCCTTTTTTTTCTCACCCAATGTGTTCATTATAATTTTCTGATGCTATTTTTTGAACCAAAAAAAAAAATTAATCTGGTAAGTTTATCTAAATTACATTATAGAACATTCTGAGAAATTATTATTATTATTTTTTTTGGTCAAGATTCAAGTATTAATCTGAGTTTTAAATGCAGAAAGGGTGTATTTCCGTTTCAAAAACAATTAAATGTGGTAAAAAGAATTGAAAAGGGTCACTAGAATGAGGTTTCTGAAAAGAAAGGACCACAAATGTAAGTAGCATATGGTGTACCGGAAGAAAAGATACATATAATATTGATGATGAAATGAGAATTACGGTCCATTTAAGCACTAACATATTTTCTTCCCCTTTCATGATCATGTATTTTTTTTCGCTAAGATGATCAATTGATCCTTTGCTGATCATATTCATGAAGGGATTTAATCCTAAAATTTGTCAATATGTAACGATCTCGTAACTTTTGAAAAAAAAAATAGTCCTAAACTCAAAAAAAAAAAAAAAAAAACTTAAAGTGATTTATCCCTAAGCACTTATTTTGATGTGAAATTGATGGCAAACAAAGGAAAGTTAACGGGGCAAAATTGTTGGAATTTAGGACTAACTCCTTCGCTCACCTCCATAACTAGAACTACTCTCCAAAAATAATTAGTTTGAATTTTCACTTTTAGTTTAATTTCTACTAAAAGTGAAAACAAAAATCAGATAATAATTTTGAATGAAGGGAATATTTGAATTGTAAAGTTTTAACGTTTTTCCATTAATTATCCTTTATTTGTGATTAATTTCATATGAAATACTCTCTCTCTCTCTCTCTCTCTTTTTAAGAGAACCAGGGCGGTACTTGGGGAATATCTCCTGATTTTATTAATTAAAAGGAAAAATTTACATAGGCAGTGCTTAAGACTTACCTATCATGAAGAAACCGTCTTAGAAAAATTTTCTAAAAATCTCAATGATGGTTCCAATTTAAACTAAAGCTAAGAACTGTCTTACAAAGAGTTCCCTAAAGAACTCATGACAGTTATGTTTTTACGGACTAATGATTAAAATTCCTAAAAAACCGCTTTACATGATCATACAAGAATCTCAAAGCGGCTCTCTAATTCCAATCAGTTAAACTAAGAGTCTGTCTCACAACGATTTTCTAAAATTATCATGACAGTTCTCTAATCTATCCTGACTACCTAACACGAATATATGGAAAAGACATTTGATCCAAGTATAAAATACCTCTCAAGAAGCTAGAAAGGCTGGCTAAACTGTCATGTTCTATTGATTGTCCACTTGATGCTTGCTTCGATAGACCATCTGCAAAAACATTTATCTCTCGGAATATATGATGCACTTTAAAACCAGTGCAATGTAAAATACATTGTATCTGCTGCAATGAGCCATGGTGCTTCCAGTGACATTTCTTGCTATTGTATAACAATTGAACCACTAATTTGCTATCTGTTTGAATCTTGGCCTCATGATATTCTTGTTCTGCCCATTTCAATCCTTATAGTATGCCCTCTATTTCTTTTGAAAGGCTGGTAGATTTTCCCACATGTCTCCTTATTGTTTTGATGAAACAGCCTCGTTCTCCTCGAGTTATAAAACCCCACACCGATTCTCCCAGGCTTCCTAATGCTGACCCATCAGTGTTGATAATGATCCTCCAAGTTCCGGTAGTATCCAACATGGTGAAGTGACTTTTTTCTCTTTTCTTCCTCTGACTTTAACATGAAAAATTTCCTCTAGCTCTTGTACCTTAGCCAGGGTTCTTGCTCTTAACTCATGAACACTCCAAATCATTGAAATGTTAGTACGAATTTCATGAGTTCTTGATTCAAAAGAAAACAAAGTACCTTCAAAAAAACACTTATTCCGTGTTTTCCAAATTTCGCATAAGATGATGGCTGGAGTGATCATGATAACTACTTTTTCTTTTTGCTGATGAGAAGTTGCCAATTGAATACCATGCTTGAATAAAACTCCATAAACCTGCACTAAAAGGTAAGAAAATTCCGTACAAAACTAAGAAATAATTCCAAACTTTTCTCGCTTGTGGACATTTATAAAAGACATGTTGTATACTTTCCTCCGCTTGAAAGCACATTGGGCATCTAGTTGGGTGAGAACTAAATCCTATCTTCTGTAATACTTCTGGAAAAGCAACAAGTTGGTTAAACAACCTCCACAAGAGAAAGAGATTTTTATGGGAATTAATTTTATTCCAAAAACTTTTCATGATGGGGACTTCGGGTTTCCTCTACCTGATTTCCCACAGCTGAAATCCCCTACAACTGACGGTTTCCACATATGCCGATCCTCCTCCTGAGAAAAATTTATATCATCCCTTCCAAAATTTGCAAAACCTGCGGCTGCAAAAATTCGTTAAACTCTTGCAGATAGAAAATTTTGTTAAGAAAAAAGTTTTTAATCTGGAAGTCCTTATATGGCATACCACGTAGCCAATTAAGGGACCATAAAGGCCCTTGATCTGGCCCTCCATCATACCAAAAAGAAACATTCCCTTTTCCAAGCACAACTTTTGATCTCTTGTTCGCAAGATGATGAACCTTTAGAATCCTGCTCCAACATGTCTTCTCTCTTGAAGTTTTTGATAACAAATTAACAAATCTCACCCAAATGCTTTTGTTACACTTCCATTTCCACCAGAGCTTAAACAAGTAAGCATCAACATTATCTTGAAGTTTTCGCAATCCAAGTCCATTTTCAGCCGTAAGAAAGGTTAGTTTCCTCCAAGCTTTCCAATGCCTATGCGCAACATCTTCGTTAATCCCCTAAAGAAAATTCTGGCATCTTCTTTCCAAAGCGTCACATGAAATACTTTATTTGACATTAAATCAAAGTAAATATTCGCAAATTTAGAATTAATTTTTCATGTTAGAACTTATAGGCTGATCACCTCAAACATTTTAAACCATTGATTAATCTAGCATAATTAGATTTACTATATTTACATTTTAAACAGATGTTTTTTATATACATTAAAAAAAAGAAAAGATTGATAGCTTCATTTTGAATTTTTGACTTCCCTTTGACTCCTACACGTTTTGGTGATGTTTGAGGGCAAATAATACCCAGCACCTTGGTACACCTAGTAAGGTGTTCCTAATGGGGTGCGTGTAACACACCTCCAATTAAGCATGTTGGTTTTTGCTTCTCTTTTTCCCTATA